CTTGAGAGTAGCTGGAACTGAGCTCCGGCTGGGGGGAAAAGCACTGGTTACGACATAAATGAACTTAGAAAAAGACTGGAATCATCTATTTCTCTCCTGCAAACCCACCCATGCCTTTGTTTTGTCTCTTCTCTTCTCTCTCTCTCTCTCTCTCTCTCTCTCTCTCTCTCTCTCTCTCTTCATTTTTATTGGTTTTTTTAACATATCCTTTCCAACAATCGTTTAACATAACTTCTTATCTTGTACAATATTTTAGACTTCCGTCAACCACTTCTGAAGATTTTCCGCTCTTTATCATTTGTTCTGCATTTCTTAATTTCTCTATTACTTTTGATTATCCTTAACCAATAGTTCTCATCATAGTCTTTCTTGCAATATTTCAAATAGTCCTCCTTACAGAACTTCTTGCAGTCCTATTAAAATTGCTTTTCAAATAGTTCAAATATATACTCCAGTCTTCTAAGAATCTCTGATCCCGCAGATTTCGAATCCTTCCTGTTGTCTAATTCTGCATAGTCCATTAATTTCATTTGCCATTCTTCTTTTGTCGGTAATTCTTCTTGCTTCCATTTTTGTGCCAATAATATTCTTACTGCCGTCATTGCATATAAAAACAACTTACAGTCCTGTCTATTAATATCATCTCCTACAATTCTAATTAAAAATGCTTCTGGTTTTTTTAATACAGTGGTACCTCGGGTTAAGTACTTAATTCGTTCCGGAGGTCCGTACTTAACCTGAAACTGTTCTTAACCTGAAGCACCACTTTAGCTAATGGGGCCTCCTACTGCTGCCGTGCCGCCAGAGCACGACTTCTGTTCTCATCCTGAAGCAAAGTTCTTAACCTATAGCACGATTTCTGGGTTAGTGGAGTTTGTAACCTGAAGCGTATGTAACCCGAGGTACCACTGTAAATGTATATTTCAACATCTTTTTCGTCTCTTTATATATCATTTCCTAGAAGTTTTCCACTTTTTTACATTCCCATTGTCTCTCCTGTCTCACCTGTCCCAGGGAAAGAAGTTCTTGGGCGACCTCTTGACGGATGGCAAGATCGTTTGGCAGGAGACGGGTCAAGTGTTCAACTCGCCTAGCGCCTGGGCGACCTACTGCAAAAAGCTTGTCAACCCAGCCAAGAAGTCTGGTTGTGGCTGGGCGTCGGTCAAGTATAAGGGCCAGAAATTAGACCAGTATAAAGCTGTTTGGCTGAAGAAGTACCAGCCCAACACGCCCCCTGCCGAAGAGGTGAATGAATACCCTCATTTCTCTTTCACTTGTTAGAGCGCTGCATTTACGTACAAGCTAAGTAAGCAACAAGGGATGCGGGTGGCGCTGTGGGTTAAACCACAGAGCCTAGGACTTGCCGATCAAAAGGTCGGCGGTTTGAATCCCCGCAACGGGGTGAGCTCCCGTTGCTCGGTCCCTGCTCCTGCCAACCTAGCAGTTCAAAAGCATGTCAAAGTACAAGTAGATAAATAGGTACCACTCTGGCAGGAAGGTAAATGGTGTTTCCGTGCGCTGCTCTGGTTTGCCAGAAGCGGCTCAGTCATGCTGGCCGCATGACCCGGAAGCTGTACGCCGGCTCCCTCGGCCAATAAAGTGAGATGAGTGCCGCAACCCCAGAGTCATTCACGACTGGACCTAATGGTCAGGGGTCCCTTTACCTTTACTTAAGTAAGCAACCGTTTAGATTTATCTGATTATGGTAAATGCAAAAAAGCTGCTTTTAATGGGTTAAAAAAAATAAAGGAAACAGACTCTAAATTTTTATATATACTTAATGGTGACACAATTATCTTTTGTTCGTGCTTCTGTGCAAGACTAACTAATGCAGTTTTCATTTACGCTAAGAAATCAAGGGCTATCTGCTTTCTGCCCTGAGATCTTTGAATGAAGGGAAGCATACAAATTTAATAATTTAATGTGAGCCCCCGCCATTGCTGGGGTGAGAGGTTGGGAAAAGATATTCTTACTCTCTCATAGCAGAGTTAAGCACAACAGCGATTGCGCAGAGCACATTAAAACTTGGTTAGATTTCACATATGCCCTCATCCACTTTCAAAACAAATGTTCCCCACAAAAATACTTAGGCTAGAATAAATCACAGTAAGTGGTTTATTTATTTTTGCTCACAGAGTTTCCAGAATTTAGAATGGATAAATCTGTCAGCTGGCAGTAAGACAAAAATGAAGAAATGACTTTAAAAGAAAATAACTTTTCAGTGGTACCTCGGGTTAAGTACTTAATTTGTTCCGGAGGTCCGTTCTTAACCTGAAACTGTTCTTAACCTGAAGCACCACTTCGCTAATGGGGCCTCCCGCTGCTGCCGTGTCACCGGAGCACAATTTCTGTTCTCATCCTGAAGCAAAGTTCTTTTTTTAAAAAAATAATATTTATTAGTTTTCCAACCATTTAAACACTGCAAAAAAGAACAATACAACAATAAAAACCCACCCCCCTTCCACAAAACATTTAAAAGGGAATCAGATGGTAGTCAGCCAAAGGCCAGGTTAAAGAGAAACATTTTTCGCCTGGCACCTAAAGGTGTATAATGAAGGTGCCAGCTGTACCTCCTTGGGGAGAACATTTCACAAATGGGGAGTACAGTTCTGTAGAAAAGGACCATTCTAATGTTGTAACCTTCTGGACCTCTTGTGGAGGCACACAAAGAAGGGCCTCAGAGGATGAGGGTCTAGGTAGGTTCATATGGAGACAGGCGGTCCTTGAGGTATTGCTGTTCTGAGCTGCTGAAGGCTTTATAGGTCAAAACCAGCACTTTGAATGGGGCCCAGAAACTAAATGGCAGCCAATGCCGCTGAATTCTGCATTAGCTGAAGTTTCCGAACCATCTTCAGAGGCAGTCCAGCACTGCAATAATCTAATCTAGAGATGTACCAGAGCATAGACAACAGTAGTTAGGCTGTCCCTGTCCAGATAGGGGCACAGCTGGGCCACCAGCAGAAGCTTATGGAAGGCACTCCGCATCACTAAGGCCAACTGAGTCTCAAGAGATAGCAATGGTTCCAGAAGCACCCTCAAGAGCCATACCCACTCCTTCAAAGGAAGTGTAACCCCATCAAGAGCAGGCAACTTCCTAGTCATCTGATCTAGGGAACTGCCCACTAGCAGTGTCTCAGTCTTATTTGGATTGAGCTTCAGTTTGTTGCCTCTAATCTAGTCCATTACTAAGGCAAGACAACAGTCCAGCACATCCACTACCTCTCCTGCAGATGTAAAGGAGAAGTAGAGCTGTGTGTCACCAGGATATTGCTGACAATGTACTCCAACCCTCTGGATAACTCCACTCAGTGGTTTCATGTAGATGTTGAACAGCACAGGGGATAAAATCAAACCTTGAGAAGGCTCCCCCACATTGAAGGCTCCATGGAACTGACGAACACTCCCAAAGCAACGCCCTCTGGGAACAACCATCCAAGTAGGACCAAAAACTCTGCAAAGTGGTGCCACCCACCCATAGCTTGGGCAGCTGCACCAAAATGATACCATGGTTGATAGCATTGAAAGCCACTGAGAAGTCAAAGAAAATTAACAGGGACAACATTTCGCCTGACAGTGGTCCTCACACAGGGCAACCAAAGCAGTTTCTGTGCCAAAATTGGGCCTAAACCCCCAATAGATATAGAAAATAAGTTTCCTGCATAAGCGCCTGGATCTGATCCAGGAAAGAGACACAAACAACTGGTTGGTAGTTACTTAGATTTTCCAAATCCAGGGAGGATTTGTTAAGGAGTGGTTTCATCACTGCCTCCTTCAAGTAGGCAGGGACTAGCCCCCTCTCGCAAGGAGGCATTAATCACCTCCCTGGCCCAGCCAGCTTTCCCCTCCCTACTAGTTTTTAACAAGCCAAGAGGGGCAAGGCTAAGAGCCCTAATGGTCACCCTGACCAATCCAAGCACCTTGTCCACATCCTCAAGCTTTACCAACTAAAACTCATACAACACAATAGGACTAGCCAGTGCTTTCCAAGTTTATACTGAACAGCAAGAGGTGAAACCTACTTTAGACTAAGCATATTGCCAATACATGATGAGATTTCATCCTTATTCAGCAAATATGCAGGAATACATTCTGTGAGTCTCTTGGGACCTGGCACCTGCCTAGCAGGCAGGCATCTTCCAACATACGCAAGACCCTTTTTCAGTTGGGCAGGAAGAGGTTAATCTGAAAGTTGGGCATATTGACATTAGTCCCTTGTCATGGTCAGATCACTTCCGGTTGAGATTTATGAGGATGGTTTGGCCTTGGAAGCTGATGGATCCAGTAGGTTTCCAGGTTGCTCTGAGGGATTTTCTGGCTGATATGATGTGTGCTCCTGTCAAAGCTCTGGCTGACCTCTGGAAATCTGAATGGCTCAGGCTGTTAACATGACCACCCCTGAGCGCCACTTCATGGAGCTCGTTTGGCTCCTTAGTATACTCCAGAGCTTAGGGCAAGGAAACAAGCTGGGGAACAACTCAAACGTAAGTGGAGGAAAGATCCAGCTGAATGCCTGTGTATGTGACATAGCCAAGTTTGCTATGAATTTTTATAGGACCCTTCCTTTCCAAGACCTCATGGCAGCATACAGTGCTTCCTCACAACAATTTTTCAATGTAGATTAGTTCAAGAGAAAACTGGCTGAAGCTCACCTCATTAACTTCATAGCCAAACTAGGATTTGAACCTGGACTTCTCAGTCAAACACTAATACACCATCTACTATACCACATTGGCCAGTCAAGTCATTATTTTTGCTTGAGCAACTGAGCATCTTGCAAATAATAGGCTTGTAAACTTGCCTTTCCTCAAAATACATTCTATCCAACTCACCGTTTACCTTCTACTGCTACTTAGCCAAGGAGTATACTGACCTTTGTCATCTCCATCTTGTTCCACAGGTTTGATAACTGCTTGCATACTGGCCTTGTGAGAACGAAGGGACATGCGAGGGTTCTCATCAACCTGCAGCAAAGGCAAATTCCTTCTCAGTACAAGCCCCTCCCATAGATGTGTAATCACTAGACAACTAAGTGGGTCCTTTAACGATTTAGCACAAATAATGTTAGGCAGACTAAGCCCCTTCGAGTATCTCTAAAAATTATGTTGGCACTTCAGTGAGAGCCATAGGAAAGAAGGCATTCTAGGACAGCACTCAGGTTCACTAATGTGGAATCCAACATGCACAGGCTCAAATGATGCAATCATGAACTTCAAAGGATTGACTGCAGATTAAGTCTGTGTGTGTTTAACTCTGAACGTGCAGTTTCTGTCAAAACATCTCATCCAGCATGTCAGTGTTGAGCAGGTCTGGAGGCAGGACAGATGTACCCTGAAGATGCACCATGGAATGTCATCCAACTCTTCCATGCACATTACACTCCCCCCTGCTTGAGTCTGGATGGTTGCTAATCACACAGTTCTACCCAAAAATGAGTCACATAGAGTTGAGTGGGGCTTAAGGTAAAGGTAAAGGTACCCCTGCCCGTACGGGCCAGTCTTGACAGACTCTAGGGTTGTGCGCTCATCTCACTCTATAGGTCGCTGTCCGGAGACACTTCCAGGTCACGTGGCCAGCGTGACAAGCTGCATCTGGCGAGCCAGCGCAGCACACGGAAACGCCGTTTACCTTCCCGCTGGTAAGCAGTCCCTATTTATCTACTTGCACCTGGGGGTGCTTGCGAACTGCTAGGTTGGCAGGCGCTGGGACCGAACGACAGGAGCGCACCCCCCCGCGGGGATTCGAACCGCCGACCATGCAATCGGCAAGTCCTAGGCGCTGAGGTTTTACCAACAGCGCCACCTGCGTCCCGCAGTGGGGCTTACTGCTGGGTAAATGGATTGTGGCCTTAAGCTTCTTTTAGTCTTCTTTAGAACTTACCTTCTGAGATGGTGGCTCTATCATCAGTCTAAGAGAGAAAAGGTATGCATATTTTTAATAGTAAAAACTTTGCAAATTCCTTTCATGCTCCTATCTTGCAGCATGAGTTTTAATTGGTCTTATCATTTCATTGTATCTTTAAATGCATTGAAGTAATGAAATGAAGTTATCAACCTATCAGCTGAACTCTAGCCTCAGCTCATACTAGACTACAGAAAGCCCATACAACACCTCACTGCTGCCATGCTTTCAAAAATAGATTCACCATTTCCTTTCTTTTCTGTCTGGGTACAAGTCTAGTTATTTAATACAATTTCCACAAAAAATACATTGTGTATGTGGTGTCACTGACAACTTGAAACCTGTGCAGAGGAGTGGCCAAGATGATAAATGGTCTGGAAACCAAGCCTTATGAGGAACAGTTAAGAGAGATGGGTATGTTCTATTGAAGGCCTTAAAGGCATCCAGGGAAAGTAACAATGCTGACATTTCTTTAGACTGCAATTCATAAATTATATCAAGAACCCTTCTTACCGATCCTGCAATGCTTCAAAATGGCATGAAGCATGTCCGGTCAGGGGAGATGTAGGAGGTTATAAAAACATTCAAGTGCTTCACTATAATGGCAGCGAAAAGCTTAGCATCCACATTTATAAGTGCTATTGGTCTGTACAAGTCCACTTTTGTGGAATCTTTACCCAGCTTCAGAGTTTCTTAAAGCATAATGTCCATTCCTTCCTTTTGCATAGATAGAGTCTACTTCTGCTCTTTTAACAGCAGCACTAAATCCTTTACATTAAGCGATCGCGCTTTCACCAATCTACAAGTTTCTTACCATAATGTGGAGGGAAGTTCAGCATATAGTAGTGCAAAAAAAAGAAAAGAAAAGGAAGGAAAAGACCAGAACTACCGATGAAGGACTGTTAATAGGGTCGAGAATAGCAAACTTGTACTGTCAGAATAAGTACCTAGACTTTGACCACGATCTATAAAATAAAACAGTGAACTGCTGTAAACATAATTTGCCAAGAATACAGGCTTCAACCAGCAGGTAGTCATGGAGGCAGTGGGAGGAGCTGCTCCATGCAATCCTGGGCTTAGGTGGGGAGCAAAAGGGGGGGCTGTTACCAATATCTCCCTGTCCTCCCTTCCTGCCACAGGACTGTCAGAATCATGGCTGTAGTAAGCTGTAGCAAAAAGACTTGAGTGGCCATTGAAAACTATACGGGCATGCAATGTATTGTTTGTTCTTCCCCCTTTGGTGAACCAGGGTATGTTTCATTCTCATTTGGGCAGTGTTTAGTGTTTTCTGGAAGCTGGAGCTGAAGCATTTTAAGCATATTATCAGCCTGCTGTATGTGCTTACAATCCACGCTCTTCCTTTGTGAGGAACAATAAGCTTATGATATGCCTGCTGCTTTCAGAGCAGTTAACATATACTGTACATGAAAGGCTCTTCTGAAGCATGGCAGGGCTAATTAATCAGATTTTATTCGTGGAATCATTATATTTTATATTCCAGATATTCCCAATGACTTTGAAGACTATCCTTGAGCCTGTAGTGATCAAACTGTCTCTTGGAGTTTCACCTGCTCAGGAGTCTATGAGCCCACTCTAAATCCACTGGAGGCAGAGAGATTCATGGTCCTGTTGATTATAAATGCATCCATACCTCCCCCTCCCTCTTTTTCAGGTAATTCTTCTAGCCTAAGTGCTACATAATCAGTTGTCATTTGGGAGCAATTGAATTTCAGACTGGTTTTCAAGGGCTGTATTCACAGCTTCATTAGCTGTTTTGGAAATTTCTTTACGGTTGCTGATAGTGTGTCAAACCATCTTTCAAAGGGGGCTAGAGTAGTTGCCCAGTCTGAAAGCTAGCTCTTGCTGGATTTAGGTTATGTAAGCATATGACTCTCTATCATCCCACATTTAGAAAGCTGAGCTCCTGCCTTTTTGTTGATGTGCCATTTCAGAGTCTGAGGCCTTGTCCAAGTCCTCAGAACAGATGTTTCCTCCCTTAAATCAAGTTTTAGGCATTTTGCTTTTTGGACTTTGTAGTCCCCGGAGCATTACCTTATTGGAGCTGTAAATTGCTGTTGTCAGAGCTGCCCTAGGTCCCAGCTCACAAAGGACCAACGCCAGTTCGTTGTTATATAAAACAGTCTTTATTGAAGCTCAGTTCGCTTTCACAGCCGCGGCGCGCAGCTCTACATCTCAAACTCTAGACCGCCGAAGCTCCGTCTGAGTCTCCTCCCCCCAGACACCAGTTTAAGACTCTAGCCTTGCTCCACCTCTTCCTTTGCTCTTTCCTCCTCTGGGTCCGCCTGTCCGCTGGGGTCTTCCCCTTCCTAGACTCTTCTGACGCTGAGTCCCCTGAGTCTTTCCCCTGCCTCCGGCGGGCTTTAGGACCTGGTTCCCAATCCGGGTTTTCTGCTGTCCTGCGCGCCTGTACATTCGAACTTGGCGCGCGCGCCAGCCGGTCACCTTCCTCTGACCGTTACACTGCTCTTGTCACTGCTTCCCCCTTCGGGGAGGCTAGCTGGATCTGACCTCCCCTCCGTTCCCCCACTCTCCGATAGAGGCGTGGTCCAGTCCTGACTCATCTTCTCTCCCTGCTGGAGGAGACGCTGGCCCTGACACATGGGACTCTTCCTCCCCGCTACGCTCTGGTGGGAAGCTGGTCCTTGATCTCCCGCTGCTGCTTTGGGAGTCCCCGCTGGCCCCTTGCTTCTGGTGCGTCCCCCCTGGGGACCCCTCTTTGCCCTGACCATCGGCGCCCCCTTCTGGGAATCTTCTGATTCGCTGGAGAAGGCTCATGGAATCTCTCGGGTCACTGTCATTCTCCCCTCCGCTGCCCTCAGATTCTTCCCCTTCGCTCTCCATTTCCTCTCTCCCCTGTGCCTCTGCTCCTGAGGCCCCTGACAGCTGTATTTTAAATCGCTTTTTTAAAGCCCACTTGATCTGTTTATCTTCTTGTGGTAGTTAAGCTACCATTTAGCTCCTCAGTTAGCCACGTCTCCTAAATTATCACTTTAAAAAAATAATAATCGTAAGATTCTAATTCCAACTCACCCAGATTCAGTAATTTCTTCAGCCACAGCAACATGACCTGAATGAGAAGAGACATGAGGTTACATCTCCAACAAAGTCAAACATCCGCAGAAGCATCCTGGCTCTTACAACTGCACCTCACAATATATAACAGCATCCTGGACCTCCTTAAGCACCACTGGGGTCACCATGGGCTAAAGGGACAAGTGTTCAAATTTTAAAATCTTTCAGTACTGGAAAAATAATTTGCTGTGACTGGAAACGTTTTTGCTAATTCCGGCCTGGTAAGGAGTCTGAAACACATTCTAAGACAGACACCTAACCATGGTTAATTTATACTCCAGGACTACTTTCTGTAGCATATACAGAATGCATTAGCTTCCCTACATCACAAAATTGTCAGCAAGCAATAAGCTGGATGCAGCTGCTCCTTTTGTAGCTGGAGGATGAGAGTAGGATGTTGTGATGTGCTTTGTGAGGCAGTGTATACAGATCTCCTGGTGGCCACTGTTTTTCTTTTATTTAAAATGTTTACTGCCCATTATTCACTGCACATGCCAATTTGAAAGCAGGTTACAAATGAACACAAATCTACACGCATCACTGGCAGGCATCCCAAACATTTTATGACCATGCCTCTTCTCATTGGAGCCTCTGGCTATGCACAATTTATGTAAGCACCTAACAGTGACTGTTCCACAGCAGCTTCATGTCTCTGGATCACTTTCCTCTGAGATACAAAGTTGTATGGGACATTTTGGCAGCATCCACCTATCCCAAGATCCAACTATTGCTAAGTGCCCCCAAAGCTAAATGATAGCAGTAGGTTTCCCCTAGATGTACTTAAGGCCTGCACCACATGACTTAGGATAGATTTAAAAAATAGGAAGCAGATGTTTCAAGACAAAGTCTCACTTGAGTATAGAGTAAAATTATTCCAATACATCACCTTCCATTTTAAACCTTACTTTTGCCTTGAGTTATTGGAAACTACAAAGTAAGTTATCAAGAGAGTGGAAAGAAGCCTAACCAAAATAATAAATAAAGAAACAAATCTTAAATATTGGAAGCATTTTGCAGTTCATATCAAGCTAGCCTGCTACAAGGTAAAAGCAGCAACACTTTTTTTGTACTCTTATCTCACATTATTGAAACTTACAACTTTCATGCCTAGCAGATAATGACTGCTGGGATGTTTTCCGCTTTGACAAAGACTTCCGACTAGATCTCCGGATCATTCTTTCCCTTTTAGTACTGAGTGAGTATCTCTCAGCCATAGAGGCTCTGGAGGTCCTGCTTAGGCGGACTGAGCGACGGTTTGCTTTTGAAATAGTGGGTGCTTGTGAGCTCTGTTTTAACTTCTGAGCAGCCTCTGATTCAGAAGCCCAGCTGTCCTCTTGGTTCTGGGCACTTGGTTCTTGGTTCTGAGTACTGGATTCTTTGTTTTCAGCGGCACCGGGTACTTCTGCTATTTTCATCTTGCATATTCCCCGTCCCTCTTTTATTTCGGCTTCAGGAGTTTCTTTCGCCACAAGGCAAGTTTTGGTCAAAGGTGATCTCTTTATAGGAGACCCCTCCTCAGATAATTTAAGAATCAAATCAGCTGTATCTGTCTGAGGTAGCACTTTTTTTGCCTGCAGTTCTGCACTACGCCTCTCATTAGCACTGATTACTACTAGTGGTAACCGATCTTTGGCTAAATTGAAAGATAGTTTCTTAAGAGAAGCATCTGAGACTCTGGCAGATGAGGCAGCCCGAGATCTAGTAACACGATGACAAGGGGAGGCATTCTCTACATTAATTTCCAAGTTTTTCCGACTTCGGGTAATCCGTTTGGAAAATAACCGAGTACTCTCTCTTCTTGACAACCTGATAAAAGAAACACATTGTAAGGAAAGCAATGGGGACTAAGCTGACTGCGTGCCAAAGCTGGCAGAAATGGAGTTATAAAACCAATTTGGTGTTGCAAGGGACAATAGCGTAGCTGAACTGAAAAATCCTAGACAAACTGAGTGAGAAATGTTACATCAACAATTTACCACTTATATATCATTCAAATCTTGGGCTGATGAAATTACTGTGAATCAATATTTATTTTAAAGATTTATACCTTGTCTTTGATTCAGGGTAACTATGTTGCTTACAACAGACAACAGACTAAGAGACTGGCTGATGGACAGGGACAGAGAGAGGATTCCTTTCAGATTTGCATCCTGGGACACCTGGTAGATGGAATTAGGAAAGTCCTATCCTTGTTGTGATGTGGCTTTGTGAGGTAGATCGTGTGTGGAGATCTCCTGGCGGTAGATTATTTTTAATTTTAAAAAAATGCATTTACCAATCCATCCCTCATTACAAAAGCACAAAAGGACACATTTTAAAAATCTTCAAAACATATTTAGCTAATCAAATACCGTAAACATTGCAACCCAATCTAGACATTTTCCTGAAGTAAGAACTAGGAATTTAAACATTATCTTCCAGATTATTCCCTCTACTTAGCCCACAAATACATTCCTACCTCTTTGTAGCAAAGTGATCATTCTTAACAGAAGAAAAACGCTTCTTTTTCCTATGACTCTTCTGTGATGGTGTTTTTGGCATCAGCTCAGGTTCATCACTGGAGCCACTATTTTTGAGATAAGAGCAGCAGTTTAAATTCTGGTCTGCCAAGTGCCTTTACCTAGGAATATTGCCAACATACTCACTGAATGGCAATTTCTTATTTCAGACCAATCACACAATTCATGCTGTAGGATTGGAACAATCAAGGTATCGATTCCTACAGAGGTCAAGCTATTGGAGACCGAGAATGTCAACATTTCCTCAGAAGCAATGGCTTGATGACAGGTTAAAATTGCAGATATCCCACTTTCATTCAAAGTTCATCTTTCAAGTTCTCGTTTTGGTAAAGACTAGGAAAAAACATTGAAGTTCAGGATATTGTTTGCAGCTTGGGATTCTTTTACCAAAGCCAGTCTGGTTTCTGACCCTGGCACAGCATCAAACTTCCTGAAACCCAGAGACTAATGACACTGAATAAGATGGTAGCCTGATACAATAAAATTCTGTACTGTACTACATCTGATGGAGTAATCACTTTGTTGTATACTCCATGAGAAAACACATTAATTACTGTAACATATCTCTAATAATATACGCAATAAGACATTAAATGCCCTACATTTGGTAGCTGTTAGCTTCCAAAGCATGTAATCTCGCTTTGGGTAAAATCCCCAAAAAGCTCAACAGCCTTCAATCCAAAAAAAGTCAACAAACTTTGCTCGACCCTCAACGTGGCTTCACTTCATCAAATCTTTTTGAAAAAGTTGTAACATCCAACCAGAACATTCTCTGGAGACTGTCTGCCAAGTAGGTAGGCTCTGGTTATCTCCCGCTTGGACTACTGCAATGTGCTCTACGTGGGGCTACCTTTGAAGGTGACTTGGAAACTACAACCAATCCAGAATGCGGCAGCTAGAATGGTGACTGGGAGTGGCTGCCGGGACCATATAACACTGGTCCTAAAGGATCTTCACTGGTTCCCAGTACGTTTCCAAGCACAATTCAAAGTGTTGGTGCTGACCTTTAAAGCCCTAAATGGCCTTGTCCCAGTATTATTATATATAATAATAATAATAATAATAATAATAATAATTTGAATTTATATACCGCCCTATACCCAAGAGTCTCAGGGTGGTTCAGTATACCTGAAACATTTCTACCCCCATTGCTCAGTCCAGACACCAAAGTCCTGCTGCTGGTTCCTTCACTGCGAGAAGCGAAGTTACAAGGAAACAGGCAGAGGGCCTGCTCGGTAGTCGCCTGTGAAATGCCCTCCCTTCAGATGTAAAGATAAAAAAACAACTTTTAGAAGACATCTGAAGGCAGCACTGTATTGGGAAGTTTTTAATATGTGATGTTTGATTATGTTTTTAGATATGCTGTAAGTAAATATCTTTTCCTTGCATATTTACCGTTGCCTTGATTTAAAATTAATCTAGCATGGGTGACAAACCTAGTCTTAACCTATTGTATATACACAGCTTATGGGCTGTTGTGATTTCAATGGATTCATAGAACAAAAAACTCATGCTTTGGGGCACCATTTCTAGATCTCTTGCTCATACCTCGTAAACATCTTTTTAGCCTCTTCAATAATCTCATCCATCCACACACAGTCATTGTTGTCAATATTTTGTAGAAATTCAGCAAGTTTCTTCCTTGCACGTTCTTCCGGCATCACTGGGTTCCCCATCTTCCACATGGCTTGGCCTGCAAAAATGAAAGAGACTTCTTGCTCAAGGCACAAAAAAACAAAAATCCATTGATCTCCCCACAAAATGGTAGGAAGCATATTGCTACAATGTAAAACAGCATCATGTTGCAAAACTCAAATAGTTTTCTCAACCTTCTGCCTGCCTCCTGTACCTCAAGGCCACTCTACATCTTAAAAACAGAAGTGAGCAAAAGGCAGCAGGGTCTGTGGCTTTCACTACACATCTCTTGCAAAAAATATAATCAGACAGCCAGTGTCTCAACTGCTGCAACCTCTCACATGTTCCCATTAAATATTGTTATAGTGGTGGGGGAAACTATACCCTAGAAATTATTAAATGGTTGGATTTTGATTACTGGAATGTGAAGGGAGAAATATAAGCTGCAGAGAAATTCCTGAGCTAGCCTATGCAAAATGACCTGGCCAAGCTAGGGCTACTAAAAAAAACACACCTGTCCACAGGTGCAAACAGAGACAGGTATTTGGAAGGTTGCCATGGTAA